CAACAAGATGTCCAAGTAAAAAACAACACTTCACACACGGCTTTTGGAGATAGAAATGAGCCCGAGAATTCTTCTAAAGTGGTTGTGATAAGGCTTTTTCCAAATAAGATCTTTAAAAGGGAGTAAGTTTCAGTTAACATAAGCCTTCTTTCACCCTTAGAGCTTTCCCTTTTATCCTGTAAGAAGTGCAGATAAAAAGGCTAAAACTGGAGCTTCATCCTGTCACCTTGAAGGAAAAGATTAGTGAATTACAGAGATCTCAGCCTGACATTGTGAAGTGGCCAAATCACCATCAGCAGTGAACACCTGCTCTAGATACTTGGTAAACAAGAAAAAGACACTCAGGTATATTAAGTGACTGTCATTTTTGTTTGCTATCCATGCAGCCTGATTGAAGTTCTAAATGGTATTTCAAGGTAAGCTTTTATCAGCAAATCAGGCAGAATAATTCATGTACATTTCTGCTTAATCATGCATACATTAAGAGTGAAAAATAACAATTTTTTTCCCTAAATTTCACTCTCTCTAAATATTTGGAGAACTTGAACGTGGAGAATGAGAGAGGTAATTTTGAATAGTCAAGGCTGAACAATTGAATAACTGGTAGTGATATGAACAAAACATAAATATTTTAGGTTGTGAGGGAGTGTCATCAAATGCAAATTTTAAGTTTTACATTTCTAAATTCAATGCAAACAATTTATGTTGAAGTGATTATTTGTATTTTATGGTATTCTCTTGGGTGAAAGTTTTGTTTTCATTTTTAATACTTGTCAATGTTTCTTAAACTAACGTAGGTAAATCACTGTTTTTTCCATGAAGCACCTACAGAATTTTCCACAAACATTTGGTAATTCTATAGATAATTTTAAAATAAATAACTATTTTTTCATGACTAGAGTACTGAAAAATTTTAAAGAGAATTTTTTCCAAATCTCTCATCTTGGCTACCCAGTGAGGCTGATGTATCTGTCTGGATTTTCTGCTTCCCAGTGCATGACACTAGCTCTGGTAACTAAGCGGATGCTTCCTCTTATGGGACAGACTGCTCTCAGCCAGTTTTAGCTGGACAGCAGGTGGGGAAATAGTGTGAAGAGTAATTCTGTAGTGACTTCTCAATATGAAGAGAACAAAATGCAGAGCTCCCTAAATGATCAGGCCTTGCTGCCCTTCCAAACCCATGTCTTGTTATGCTCTCTGTCATTCATTGAGATCCAGCATTCCTGCCCTGCTTTCACTCTTGTGAGTACACCACATTCTTATCACCTAAGGGCCTGTCACCTGCTGTCACTGTTGTCTGGGATGTTCTTCCCCTCTCTCTTTGTCTGACTAAAGACTGTTTATCTTCCAACTCTCAGCATCAATACACTTTTGTCAGAAGAGGCTTTCTCTAGTGACACTTCACTATAAATTATATCCTCCCCTAACCTCCAGCATTTACTTCTGCAACAATTTTTAATCTTTTCATTTATACCGTTAATTTCAATTTGTAATTGCCTGAATATTCTGTGCTGTGAGGGCACGCACCACATTTATTTCGTCTACCTCTCTATATTAAGAATCTGCCATGTTGGTTGGAAAATAAGCATGACTCCAACAATGCATATGTGTGAAGTAATCAATGCATTATTATATTTGTAGAATATTGCCAATAAATAATTATTCGAATTAATAAATTTTATAAGTTTATTATTTTCATCTTATTAGTAAACAGCAAACAGTAACTTTACATTATTTCTTTTTTAAAGGTAGACCTACTGCTAGGCAATCAATGATAAAATAAACCTAAACAATTTTATTTTCCATAAATGTAGCCTATATTCCAAAAATAATAAGATAATAAAGTATGCTGAGAACAATATCTTTCTTAATTAGTTTCTATTATCATGTAAAGTGACTTATTTGCTTAGAGATTTTTGGCTAATAATAATATATTTACATCAACTTTAGAAGCCATTTGGAAATAATGTGGCAATAAAAACAGGCAAGAAGTTGGAGTACCTGTCATTGTTTTTAAGAAAAAAATTAGTTACAAACCCAAAGAACATTAAAATCGTTATTTTGCTTTTTTAGTTCAAATAAATACTTGACCACAGGGCAAAACTTATGTTTTCTTTGCTGGCATAAAGAGACAGCTTTTCAAAAGATATGGATGCTAGAAATCTTACAGAAATGCATTTTTCTAATAATACTGGTTCGAATTCCATAGCTATGATAAGCAAAATGATTTTTGAGATTGGGCATTTATGATATATATATATATAATATATATATATTTATGATATATATATATATAATATATATATTTATGATATATATACATAAAATATATACATATATCCAATCACAAAACAATGTCCAAAACCCCAAACAATGTTTCATTCTAACTACTGTAATACCGTACTGAACTATTTTATTTGTTTTGCTATATGTGTGTTATTTGGGGTTTGCTGGTTTGGGGAGTCTAGCAACCTCAGGATGAAAGTGTTCATAAGTGTTACCCATCCAATTATTGTTTGCTGAACCAAGTGTTCACCTTGCTGGTTAATACTGGCCTACCACAGTATTTCTCAGCATTTCCAATCTGCTGCATAATGGTTGAGTCCAGATAACACATTGGGATTTGGTTTCTTCCCATATCTGCTCACAGATGAGCACACTCATCCTTCCCCCAAAACTATAAGACAAATACCTTATTCACCAGCTTCACTACCGTCTAAACAGTCCAAGCAAAAATTACCATTATGTGGTTTCTTTCTGTTTTGAGCTTCTTGCATCTGAGGAGTTGAGCTACTAGTTTGATTAGACACTGCTATCGAATATGTATTTACTGAGTCCTATTTTGTTCAGGATACCAAGTCATGAGACTCTAAAGTAAAGAGCGCATTGCCTGTTTTCAAAGACTTCATAGCCACAGTTGAGTAAAGAGAAAAATAAAACAAAAATTTCACTAAGTTCGGTATCTCCGGTGAGCTGCCTGATAGTGTATTATGGAAGCTCCCAGCAAAGGACCCTATTCCACAACATCATGGTCAGTGTCAGGCTCAGGCGTCTGGTGTTTATTTTATGTCTATATATGTCATTTCTCCTCGTAGGTAACAATCCACAAGAGAACTCTTGATTGCTCTCTCTCCCCAACCTGATGTGTTTGTATTGCAGTGTTTCCCATCTTGGCTGATCAAGCAAAAAACCTAGACATTGTCCTTAATTCCTTCTTCTCTTCCCATCTTTTCCTATATCCAATGCATGAGCTCTGTCTCCAAAAGACATCTCATCCCTAACCCCTTTAAGCCACCGCCATCTCTCTACTGAATTAATGCAATGGCCTCCTGTAGTCTTGCTACATGAATAATGATTTTTTAAATACAATCCTTATATTATTTACCTATTTAAAACTCCCATTAAGACTTTACAGGGTAGTTATGACTCAATCTCGGTCCTCACCATGGATTACTACAGATGCTGTCCTCTTGTTACATCTCTGACCTCATTTTCTGAGACTCATGCACTTACTCTGTTCCTGCCATGTTGTTCGTCCTTCAGTGCCTTAACTGTCACCTTCATTCTTATCTAAGGAGATACAAATTTGCTGTTCTTGTTACCTAGAATGCATTTTCTCTGTCTCTTCTGATGGCTGCCTCGTTCTCTTCGTTCAGAGCTCAGCTCAAATCCATCACCTATTCAGAAAAATCTTCCCCAGGTACCCTTTGTAAGCTAGCATCCCTGTGCCAGTCCATTCCTACTGCATTGGCCACTTTAATTTATAGCAAGAATTTCCAAACTATTTTTATGTTTTGTTTTATTTTTGTTTTGTGATAAACATTTTATGTTAAACTAATCTTAGATTCACATAAAAGTTGCAGAAGGAATACAGAACTTTCCCTTATACCCTTTCCTCATCTTCCACAAACGTTAACACATTACAAAACCATGATACATTTGTCAAAACTAAGAAATTGACCTTAGGACTGTACTCTTAAAGAAACTGAAGACTGTTCAGATTTCACCAGTTTTCCACTGATGTCCCTCTCTGTTCCAGTATCCAGTCTAGGAGATCATATTGCTTTATTCATCATCTTTTCCTCCAATCTCACTTTTTCTTAGTTTTTCGTGATTTTGACACTTTTCAAAAGTACTCTTCAGGTATTTTGTAGAGCATTCCTTAATTTGAGTTTATGTAAATTTTCTCATGATTAGACTGGGCTTATGGCTTTGGGGGAGGAAATACCACAAAAGAGAAGTGTCCTTATTGCATGTTGTCTGTAGACACATGATAGCAACATGCATTATCACTAGTGGTTTTAACTTTAATTACTTGATTAATATAGTACCAGCCAGGTTTCTCCTGTAAAACCACTGTTTTCTTTTTCCTTTCTATACACTATTATTTGCAAGCAAGTCACTAAGTTCAGCCTACAATCAAAATCAGGGGAATTAAGCTCCATCTTCTAAGTGAAGAAGTAGCTACAAATTTTGAACTCTTTTTAACGGAAGCTTTGTCTCCCTTCTTCTACTTATTTATTTCTCCAATCATGTATTTATATAGTAGGAACTCATGGATTTTTTTTTTAAGTTGTGTTCAGTTTTTTATATATCGTCTAAGGCATTCCACTAGATTGTAAATTCCATTAGGGCAGAGATCTCATTTGTCTTCTTCATCACCATATCTCCAAGTCCTAAAATAATTTCTGGCATGAAATAAACATTGGTGAGTGAAAGATAAAATAATATAAAATACGTATTTTTATGATAAGTTACTCATCATCCTTCATCCCTTTATTAAAAGGAAAATAGACTCAAGTAAACCAAATAATTTTTAACACACTCAATCATTATGTTCAATTTAACCAATTTAAGCCAGAAATTCAGCTTCAATCTGGCAATAATGGTAGACCCAGTCTCTTATGGAGATTTGCATACAACCCATCCAGACAATAGCACAAACACAGACACCCAGTTCCACAATTAGCTGCTTCTGTGTATTACTGATGTTTTCTTACCTTCTGCACAGTAGCCCATGCATCCCTGAGTAGGCTGTAGTAAGTACACAAAAAATTTCCCACAGTTTCTTACAGACACTGGAATTTGAAAGAGACAGCAATCTTTTGCAGAGCTAAACAAAAACTGCCAAGTGGCACAAGCTGTCAGTTGCTTGATCTCTCCAGGAGGTGGCAGTGTCTCTGAATCTCTAAGAGACAGCCAGATGGGGGCCTGAGTTCCACAGTGGTTCATCTTTGCATCAGAGAAAACAAAAGTTGAAAATACAATTTATTTTCATACATGGTAGATAAATCGACTTTGAATTTTCTTCTAAACAACCTTTAAAATATTAAATTATCAATCATTTAAAAATCGAATAACTTGTACCTGATACAAGGAAAAGTAATTTTAAGGAATACTAAATTTAAGGGTAACCTCATAATTGATATAATCTTAATCAATGTAAATACCTTTATTCCATTTGTTACATTTGTATCGTAAACAAGAGAAATGCAATGTTGGAAAACTTACTTAGATAGCTAATACATTCTAAGGCAAAATAAGTCAATCTGAAGTCATCTTAACATATAGCACAAACTGATCTTGGAAGTTTTTGCAAAATTGCTGTAAATCGTATATATAAGAAGTTAGTGAACAGTTTAGGAGGCAACAGAAATCAAAGGAGAAGATGGGGCCGGCCCAGTGGCGCACTGCTACAGTGCGCGGCTTGGGAGTGCGGTGGCGCTCCCGCCGAGGGTTCGGATCCCACATACAGACCGGTTCCCGCTCACTGGCTGAGCGAGGTGTGGGAGCGACACCGAGGGTTGCGATCCCGTTGCCGGTCCCGGTCCGGTGCAGGCGCGACACTGAGGGTTGCGATCCGTTGCCGGACACGAAAAAAGACAAAAAGGAAAAAAAAAAAAAAAAAAAGAAATCAAAGGAGAAGAAAGGGATTGTTCGAAATCTGGTGATGGAAAATTATTTACCCATTTTTAAAAGAATGAAGTTAAAGCCTCACTTGAAGCCAATTATTAAAATAATGTCCAGGTGAAAAAAAGAATTAAATAGAAAATGACATATGATTTGAGGAGAACCAAGACACTAACTAAATGCATGACCTTGGGCAACACTCAACATCCTTCTCTCTTGTGTTAGGTGGATAGTAAGGCTGTCACCTCAAAGTGCTATGGTGAGGTACAAGTAAAATAATATATCTAATGCAACTTCTACAAAGCAATGACTCATTAACTGTTAGCCACACTATAATTCTTAATATTATTATTTCTATGCTTAAAAGCAGAGGAAAAATTATAAAGGAAAGATTGATAGATCTGATTAATAATTTCAAGAATATAATATAAATAAGAGTTAAATAAGGAGAAAATTACTTGTAGGTAGTATTATATTGCTATATTATTTATTTATTGTTATACTATTATATTTCTGATTTTGTTTTAACCATGTGATATTATCCAATTAAAAACACTAAGACCACAATAGGCAAAATATACAAACACATAATTCACACAAAAGAACACAGATGCTTCATGAATACATGAAAATATTTAGTATTTGAAAAGGTATTTTTATCTATTGCTATTGGAATTAAAAATCAGCATTATGTTTAAAATAAACAACTCTATTTATCAAAAGCCTCAAAAAGACATTAATCTTCATTGATTTTACTTATAGAAATCAATCTTAGTAAGCACATTCTAAAATTATAACAATGATTATATGTGTGCATGTGCTAATCACAAAGTTAGTTATTATAGCAAACTCCTGAATGTGCACATGTATGGTAGTGGTCTCAATAAACATGATATATATTTAAAACAGAATATTATTTTCAAAACTGATATGAAAGAATTCATAATAACATAGGAAAACGATAATGCTATAACTGCAGGTGAAAAAAAGCAAGCTATGAACATATAGCATGAACCTTACAAAACAATATAAATAGGAGGAAACAATAGCAAAATGTTAACAGTAGTTATTACTGTGTGGATGAATTATGAATAAATATTGTTCCGTTCCTATTCTTTATTTTCTGAGTTTTCTATAATGCATATGTATTACTTTAAACATCACAAATAGAAATCATTTCAACAGACTTGTATTATCGTGTAGAAAATAAGAAAAGTCTGTCAGTTCTCCAGTTGAATGCTCTAAAGTCTTGGTTCAAGAAGAGAATGAAAGGGTGGGGACAGAGAACACTTCTGCATGGGACACAGCAGGAACACGAGTTAGCTGATCTCCAGGAAGAGGGCCAGGGAAACTGTTTCATCTCTACATTTGTGTGGGGCTCTACAACCAATTACAGCAAATTCAGTCAAAGACAAGAACACAAACATATAAGGATGTAGTGAATTTCCTCCAAATTTCTCCAACTTTACTTTTAAATTCTGATTTTGTTTTTAGTTTCTTGCAAACAAAATGTCACAAAAGTGACAAATAACCAAATACAAAAGAGAAAATAAGACTTAGCCATATGCCATAAATTAAACATTGTTAAAATCTGAATGTCTTTCCTGAGGTTTTCTTTACATAAGTGCTTGAAAAGGAAAATTCTGTTACTGCATAATTCATGAAATGTGGATAATGATAAGGAAAATAAGTCTTCTGCTAAGCCATAATCCTATATGATGAGGTAATCTCACTCAAGTAGTAAATAGTAGCTGCATTCCTCTAGGCTAAAAAAAAATAACTTTTAGGAATAGATATCACACCCAGCATGTGATTATAGAGAGTAATATAGAGTGATGAGCACTTTTAGTAATTTGGCAAGTGTGACATGAATGTATTTCTCGAATATTATGGTTCCTGCATTAGCTATATAACACAACTGAAAACCCGCTCATGCCAGGACTCACTTGGGAAATCAGCCATCTGAGATCGATGGAGGCGTGTGCTAAGGGGAAGGGCTCCTGCTGTGGCAGACACTGCATATTGTGCTGCCTCCCCCCCAGGTGCATGACTTTGGTCACATGAATGAAACTCAGTTTCTGCATCTTCATGTATATAATGAGGTAATATAGTTACCTCAAAGCATCACTGAGAGACCAAGTGAGGTTACATACATGATAATGTCCACTAGTGCATGGAATGTCTGAGATGCGAAATAAATGTCAGGTTCAAAACTTTCCTTACCATATTGATCCAATAACTGAGGATGCTGAGGTAATGAATTTAGTTTTTAACAGATTTAGACTTAGTCTCATTTCTTAGATCATGTGAAAAGAAATATGGTAGTAATAACAGGAGGTGAATTGAAAGACTAACTTGTCAAAAGTGTCATAAGTAGAGATAATGTCTATTTCAGGGCAGTACCATCAACTGAATGGGGAATATGAATGAATTCGGGAGAACTTGCATTTGAAAATCATGATAAAGATAATAGAATTCTCAATAGAAATTTAAGGAGTAGCTTTATAAGGAACACAAGCTAACTGAGGAATACCCAAGAAATCATGCCTTACATTCATTATTCTTGTGCTTTTTCTTTGAGGCATTTTGGAAGAAAATGTATTTGTCAAAGCTCCTTAAGTGAAAGAAGCCACTCAGTGTAACTCACTAAACAAGACACTACCACTATGAGAATTATCAATGGTATGGTCAAGACAGTGAACTTTGTGAGAAGTTAAGATGCAGAAAAATGCATTCTGTGTCATTCCATGTGTAAAAGTTCAAAAATAGACAAAATTGAATATTAATGTGTTTGCAAGACCCATGCTTGTATGTCCACAACTATAAAGAAATACAAGGTATGCTGGCTGCACAAATTATGGGTTTGAGAAGAAAGCTTCAGGGGGATGAGGCCACATGCCTCCAGAATATTGAATTTGCTGCAGGTGCACCGTCTTCAGGTTGGGACCAAAAAACATTGGAGGATTTCACCGCCAGGGTGAATTCCCTTTTGTCTTGGAACAGGAGGTGCTAATCAAGCTATCAGAGCCATAAGTTAAGAAATGCCGTGTCAGGCAGCAACTGAGAAGAACTGAAGCACTTAAAATATACAGTATATTGCTGTTTGCAGGTTACTTGTGGTTAAGCACATGAGTCCTAGAGAATGACTGCCTTGTTCAAAACTTGGCCTTTTGACCTGCTAGCTGGGTGACTTTAGGAGCACTGTGCCTAAGACTACGTGTTTTCTGCACTGTTTGATATAAGTAATGATGATAGATTGCATCCTAGGGTTGTAACAATTATGTAAAATATTGTGGGTAAAAACACTTGGTGGATGGCATGGAGCATAACATTAACTATTAATATTACTATTATTATTAGACTAGGTAACATGTGACTGTTCCTTTGGATTATCGCAGTATGATACAAAATTAAAATATTATTTTAGTATGATAAGTTGGCTGTAAGTAAGAGGATTCAATCCTCATACGAAAAAACACATAAGGGGAAGCACATGTCTTTCTTAGTGAATTGAAATACCTCAACACATTTGGTTGGCATCTCAGCAGGTCTGTCAAAGATGAGAAATCGATACCATCCGGGAGAGAGGGAGTGGTCACATATCAGGTCTTGAACAGCTGACTGCTGGAGATGCAAGGAGTCAAAATGGACACTTCTATAAGGACTCCGAAGAAACTGGTGTCCCCCAGGAGAGCACTCCTGAGCTAGGATAGAAAGGACAGGTGTCTTTATGTATGTGTTTTGTTCAGTGATACAGTTCAGTCTTCAATTAAAATTGATTCCCAAAACAAAAATAAAGCAAATAAACCCACTATTGCACATAAAGACCATCTGAAATGTTAGGGTCTCTTAATAACTAAAGGGTGACTTAACTTGCACATTACATAAACACAATGAACAAATACACAATACTCTTCTGTATGTATTTTGGAGGTACTTAAGCTATAAGAACTTTAATTTCATTTAATTTGAACAACCAATATTGCTGATTGTTCTTGATTTAGGATTTGTTTATTCCGTCCACCTCAAGTCACAGGCCCTACAAAGATTCATCCTGGGCCTGGTCCTCCAGATTTGAATGCCATTGTTGATCCCTAAGACCAGCTTTCCCCCAAAGCAACCACATGTCCCCCCCCCCCACCAAATCCTATCTCTGCCAGATCCTGAAATGCAATGAACTGATACTGAAGTTTCATGCATTTTTTTTGTTGTTGTTGTTGTTTGTTTGTTGTTAGTTTGCCATCTTTGGTGCAGAAAAGAATAAAAAGTTTTGAAATTTTTTTCTTTCTTTTTTCTTTCTTCTTTTTTTTTTTTTGTTGGTGTTAGATAAATTATGGGAAGTATCTTCTTACTACTAAGCACAGAAAATGGATTGAGGTGCAGGGGAGCAGGTTTGAAAGAGAAACAAGATAAGACCATGTAGAAAGGAAGAGTTCTGTAGTTTTTTTAGAGAACCTGTTATCTGAATAGTCTTTGCCCTCAAAGATACATTTTCTGTCAAATCCACAGTGGCAGAACATAAAGCTTTTCTTCCCAACGTGAAGAGAGGGGAGAAGAGTAGGCAGCAAAATCAGAGTTATCCTAGAAATCCAACTCTTGTTTGAAGCTCCGCACTCCCAAGTTACTCAAATAATAAGCACCACAAGGAACTGTCCTTATTTGGATAACAGAGTATCTTGCGGACATAGTAGGTAGAAAATCTCCAAATACTATATGTTTGGTGAAGGAAAACACTGGAATAAAGAAGGTATCTATGAGATAGAGATGTGAAAGAAATAATTCAATCATTACTAATATATTTCACTGTGGAAAAAACTTACTAACTGAATAAAACTCCCAAACATTTATTAAGTAATTTTAAATTACAGAAGTGCTTATAAACCATAATCAGTTTCCTGACTTAAACTAACAAGGAGCACAATAAACTGAGTACTAATTTACAAGTGGATCTCACAAGTGTAGCTTATAAACATTGAGTCATTATCATGATGATTATTTTTACTATTTATTTTGTTGTTTGTAGTTATAGCAATTGAATTGTCCAAAAGGAATTATTTTCCAGAATGAAAACTCTCCCTGAAGAATTTTTGTTTTTAGTAAAAGATTTTAGGAGTCACCACAAAAGCCCCTCTTTCTTTTGTCTCTTGTGCCTCCTTACAAATTAGTTGTAAACTTCTCAAGAAGAATTTGACCCGAAAGGCTCTAGTGATGTTGACAATAGCAATCTGACAACACTTGATAAATATTTTATAAAATATGCATAAATAGAATTCAGGGGATGTGCTATTATTTTATCCAATTTTGAAATAATGCTAAGATCCTTCAATATATAAACAGTGCACTAGATTAGAAACTAGGAAAGTATTTTAAAGGAGATTATTAATGAGGTTTGCATGAATTGTTGAAATGTTTTCTCTGACCTCTTCTCTATAACAGAATTTTGTCTTGGGAAAAAAGTCAATAACTCCATCTATATTTTGTGTAGTATTTCTCTTTCCTAAACAGCTCTGTAGTTCTCACATTTCCTTTGATTTTGCTACTTTACATAATTATTTCCTAATACAAAGCTGAAGATAAAGTAAGTGTAGTAGAAATCACTGACGTCAGCAATACTAAATAATTGTGTAATATTTAAACAGGAACTTTATTTAAATAATTTATTTTTATGTAGTATTTATTTCATAGAAATATTCTTAGTTCATATAATTAATAATAACTCATATTTTTATCTATTATTTCACAATTTTTTTCTAAAAATCTACTTGCCTTTTTTAGAATGTTCAAGGTCTGTGTAGAAAGTTTAAAAATCTTAAGCTACACTTTAAAAACTTCATTCTACCCTTAGCTCTAGAATGTATGATATAGTTAACTAAGTGATAATGACAGTGTTGGCTCAGGCTCCTATTTGAGGATTGGGGGCATAGTTTCTCAAGTACTAAAAGAATAACTCCACGAGCACTTTAGATTCATCTGTCGATTTCATGGCATGCTGTGCAGAGCTTTCTAGCAAACCTCCCATATAACTTTTCCCCCTCAAAAAAAAGAAAAAAACTGCCTAAAAAATATTTACATTTCTACATACTCTTTCTTCTTCCTAATATGATTTAAGGCAAGTGGGTAGTGTATAATAGAATCTGCAATTCTTGGATTTCATATACTTTGGGAGAATGTATCAGGTTATAAATAATAAATACATAGTGATAGAATGTGCAAATGGTTTCCTGTATCTGCAAAAGATACAGGTATGTGTTGCTTAATGACAGGGATACATTCTGAGAAATGCATTATGAGGTGCTTTCATTGTGGTGAGTGTACTTACACAAACCTAGATGGAATAGCCTACTACACACTTAGTCTAAATGGTATGGCCTATGTCTCTTAGTCTACAAACTTGTATAGCATTTTACTGTACTGAATACTGTAGGCAATTGTAACACATACTAAGTATTTGTGTGTCTAAACACATCTAAAAATGGGCATAGGAGCTGAATAGACATTTCTCGAAGGAAGATATTCAAATGGCTGATAGGCACATGAAAAAATGCTCAACATCACTAATCATCAGGGAAATGCAAATTAAAACCCCACGGAGATATCATCTCACCCTAGTTAGACTGGCTCTTATAAAAAAGAGAATAACAAGGGCCGGCCAGGTGGCGCACTGCTACAGTGCTCTGCTTGGGAGCGCGGCGGCGCTCCCACCGAGGGTTCAGATCGCACATACAGACCGGCCGCTCACTGGCTGAGCGAGGTGCGGGAGCAACACCGAGGGTTGCGATCCCGTTGCCGGTCCCGGCCCGGTACGGGCGCGACACTGAGGGTTGCGATCCGTTGCTGGTCACGAAAAAAGACAAAAAGGAAAAAATAAATAAATAAATAAATAAATAAATAAATAAATAAAAAAAAGAGAATAACAAGTGCTGGCAAGGATGTGGAGAAAGGGGAAATCTTCTACACTGTTGGTGGGACTGTAAATTAGTACACCTATTATGGAAAACAGCATGGAGGTTTCTGGAACAACTACAGCTAGAACTACCATATGATCCAGCAAGCCTACTATTGGATATATACCCAAAGGAATGGAAATCATCATATTGAAGGGACACCTGCACTTCAGGTTTATCTCAATACTATTTACAATAGCCAAGATATGAAGTCAACCTAAATGTCCATTGACAGATGACTGGATAAAGGAAATGTGGTATACATACACAATGGAATACTACTCTGCCATAAAAAAAGAAGGAAATTCTGCCATTCACAGCAACATGGATAAACTAGGAGAAAATTGTAAGTGAAGTAAGCCAGGCACAGAAAGAGTAATACCTCATGTCCTCACACATATGTAGGAGCTAAAAAAGAAAGAAAGAAAGTGCATGAAACAAAGAAAAAACAAACACTATAATACTTGGAACATTCAGAAGGAGAGAACAGAACTATGGTTACTGGAGGGGGGAAAGGAGGAAGGGAGGGCAGTTAGGGAGAAATTGGTTAATGGACACGAAGAATGGGTGTGTTTTGTAATGATGAATATGACAACTATCCCGATTTGATTATCACATACTGTACACAAATACTGATAGAGTCAACTTCACCCCACAAATATGTATAATCAATTATGTTTCAATAAAATAAATAAATATACATATGTAAGCATAAAAAAGGTACAGTAAAAATACAGTATAAGATAATAAAAAGGTACACCTGCATAAGGCACTTGCCCTGAGTAGAGCTTACAGGACTAGAAATTGCTCTGGGTGAGTTAGTGAGTGGGTGGTAAGTGAATGTGAAGGTCAAGGACATTACCGTGCACTGCTGCGAACTTTATAAACACTGTACAGTTAGGCTGCACTAAATTTATGAAAAATATTTTTTCTTCAATAATATATTAACCTGAGCTCACTACAACTTTTTTACTTTATTAACTTTTTAATTTTTTTAACTTGTTGACTTTCATAGTAATGCTTAGCTTAAAATACAAACACATTGTATAGTTGTGCAAAATTTTTTTTCTTTATATACTCATTCATAAGCTTTTTTGTTTTGTTCTTTTTTTACTTTTCAAACTTTTTTATTAAATACTAAGACACAAACACACTTGTTAGCCTAGGCCTACACAGGGTCAGGATCATCAATACCACTGTCTTCCATCTCCACATGTTGTTCCACTGGTACATCTTCAGGGGCAATAACATGCATGGAGCTATCATCTACTATGATAACAATGCCTTCCTCTGGAACACCTCCTGAGGGATCAGCCTGAAGCTGTTTTACAGTTAACTTTTTTTTATAAGTAGAAGGAGTACAGTCAAAAATAGTGATAAAAAGTTTAGTGCAGTAAATATATAAATCAGTAACATAAGCAATTATTATCAAGTATTATGTAATGTACATAATTGTGTGTACTATACTTTTATACAACTTGCAGCACAGTAGGTTTGTTGACAACAGCAGCACCACAAACATGAGTAATGCATTGTGCTATACGACATTATGACAGATACAACATCACTAGGTAATAGGAATTTTTCAGCACCATTAATGATCTTATGGGACCACCGTCACACACGTAGTCTGTTGTTGACTGAAACACTATTATGTAATGCATGACTTTGTAAGGTAACCTGCATTAGATTGTTTTCTGGTTTAATACATTGGCCAGGTCTAGAATTCTTTAAAATTCAGGATTGATTGATAAATATGTTTAAAAAAAAACAAAATAGATTATTTTATTTTTAAGAGAGGTGTGGGCCGGCCCGGTGGCGCACTGCTACAGTGCGCCGTTTGGGAGCACGGCGGCGCTCCCGCCAAGGGTTTGGATCCCACATACAGACCGGTTCCCGCTCACTGGCTGAGCGAGGTGTGGGAGCAACACCGAGGGTTGCGATCCCGTTGCCGGTCCCCGGTCTGGTACGGGCGCGACACTGAGGGTTGCGATCCGTTGCCGGACATGAAAAAAGACAAAAAAGAAAAAAAAAAAAAAAAAGAGAGGTGCATGCATAACACCTGATGGCAGGCATTTTATAATAAGAGAGTTTGTAATTATAAAACCTTCCGTATATTGCCATGTGAGAATTTCAAGTATTTATAAATTTTAAAAATATTATAACTTTTCTAAAGATGTGGGAAAGAGAGAAACCACTTTTTGGCTCTAAATTTAATGAGAAATAAAAATTAGTAATTTAGCTTCTGTTTGTTTGTTTTAGGTTTTTTTGGTAGCTGATCAGTACGGGGATCTGAACCCTTGACCTAGGTGTTATCAGTACCATGTTCTACCCAATGAGATAACTGGTCAGCCCTAATTTAGTAATAGAATTTTGGGCTCTGTGGCAGCACAAAAGGCTAAAAAGCAAGGCAAAATAGTGACTGTTTCACTAAATCATTTTGCTTTGCCCTTCTTTATATATCAAGAGGTAAACTGAATGCCTTTTACAGAGAATACAAATAGAGTGAAAGTAAAAAGATGGAAAATGATATATCATGCAAAGAGAAAGCAAAAGAAAGCTAGAGTGGTTACAAGAATATCAGATGAGGACATTAAAACAAAAAAAACGTTACTAGAGATAAGGAGGAACATTTTATAATGATAAAGGGGCTAATCCATGAGGAAGATAATACAATTATAAGCATAGGTGCACCTAATAGCAGAGCACTGAAATATATGAAGCAAAATCTGACAGAACCTAAGGGGAAAAATACACATTTAACAATAATAGTTGGTGACTCCAATACTCCACTTGCAGTATGAATAGAAAAAATGAACAGAATATTTACTTGTAAATAGAGACTAGAACAACACCCTAAACCAACTTGACCTAACAGACATCTATAGAACACTATTCCTAATAACAGCAAAATATAAATTCTTCTAAAGTGCACATGGAACATTCTCCAGAATAGTACATATCCTAGACCATAAAACAAACCTCTAATAATTTAAAAAAGTGGAATTCACACAAGCATGCTCTTTAATTGCAATGGAATAAAATTAGAAATTTAAGAAACTTACAAATATGTGGAAATTAAACCTAAATAATCACTAGGTAAAAGAAATAATAGAAAAAAATTAGAAAAGACTCAGAAAAGAATTTCGAATATGGATGCAGAAATTATCAATGATATATCAGCAAACCAAATCTGGAAACATAGAAAAAAAATAAGCCATGACCATGTGGGATTTATTCTAGGAAAGCAAGGTTGGTTTAATATCCAAAAATGAATTATTACAATACATATCAGTAGAATGAAAATCAAAATTCACATGGTTATCTCAATAGACACAAAGCATTTGAAAAAAATCAAACACCCTTTTATGATAAAATCAGTCCACACACTAGAAATAGGGGGGAATTTCCACAACTTGATAAATGGCATCTACAAAACACCTACAGCTTAAATCATGCTTGATGAATAAAGACTAGATACTTTCCCAAAAGATCAAGAACATAAAGAGGATGTCCACTCCCACCACTTTAATTCACCATTGTACTTTAGGTTCCATACAGGGCAATTAGGTAAGATAAATAAATAAAGGTATCCAGATTGAAAAGGAAGAAGTAAAACTATTTCTACTTGCAGACGATATGACCTTATATAGAGAAAATCTAAGGAATCCACTAAAAAAATGTTAGAACTAATAAATGATTTCAGCAACATCCTTATGCAGTGCAATAAACATTCTGAAAATAAAACTTAAAAGTAATTCCATTTATAATTGCTTCAAAAAACCAAAATACTTAGAAATAAATTTAGCAAAAGAAGTGCAAAACTTATACTCTGAAATCTTTAAACATTGTTGAAAGACATTAAAGATCTAAGTAAATGGAAATATATCCATGTTCATGGATCAGAAGACTTAATGCTTTTAACATGGGAATACTCCCCAAATTGTTCCACAGATTCATGACAGCTTCTATCAGAATGCCAGCTAACTGCTTTGTAGAAACTGAAAAACTAATTCTCAAACTCACAGAGAATTTCAAGGAACCCAGAATAACTAATACAATCTTGAAAAAGAAGAACGAAGTAGACAGACCCACATTTTCCTATTTCAAAATTTACTACAAAGCAATAGTAATCAAAAGAATGTGATACTGGCATAAGGATACACATACAGATCAATGAATAAACTAGGGAGTCTAGAAAAAAAAAACAGTTTAACTATGGTCAACTGATTTTTGACAGGAGTGCTAAGACCATTCAATAGGAAAGGACAGTTTTTCAAAAAAAGTGTTGGGATGGGCCGGCCCGGTGGCGCACTGGATAGTGCGCCGCTTGGGAAGCGCGGCGGCGCTCCCGTCCGAGGGTTCGGATCCCACATACAGACCGGCTCCCGCTCACTGGCTGAGCGAGGCG